AGAAAGCATTATAAATATACATGTATACACGACCATTGAAACCCGATACGTTAAGCTAATACATCTACAACAGTCTCAAATGATCGGGCTATATTTTGGATAAATAATTATAAATTAGAAATGAATTTGGCACTAGAGTGAGGCGTTAGGCACCATCTCTTATTAAAATTAATGATTAATATGTAATTAAATAATTTAGAATAAACTGGAAGAAAAGAATCGGATGGAAGTGAGACTTGAACCCACAACTCCCGCTTACTGTGCAAAAGTGTTGCAAGTTACGCTACCCGGACCTCCGGTCTGATCTTCTCTTCCAGCATATATAAGATATGCTGGAAGAGAACCCGCAACTTCTGCACAGTAAGCGGGAGTTGTGGGTTCGAGTTCCGCTTCACGCCAATTCTTTTCTTCCAGTTTATTCTAAATTATTTAATTACATATTAATTATTAATTTTAATAAGAGATGGCACCTAACGCCTCACTCTAGTGCCAAATTCATTTCTAATTTATAATTATTTATCCAAAATATAGCCCGATCATTTGAGACTGTTGTAGATGTATTAGCTTAACGTATCGGGTTTCAATGGTCGTGTATACATGTATATTTATAATGCTTTCTCTATTATTAATACAAAGCTGTTGGGTTTCCACCCTATAGACATAGATAGCTTCAATTATTCTTAATTTTTGTACATTCAATATTTTTCTTAACAATTTGGCTCCTTTCTAACAAGGGGACACCCTGGACTCACTTGCATGTTGGGCTAAGGTAGTGTTATAATTTTCTTTAAGGATATCATACTTGTGTTCTTTTAATCTAACTTCTAATCAGTCTGTTAGTAGAGCCTATATAGGTTAGGCATCTGCTAAATCTAGAATCTTAGGTATGTGTACAACCTGGCAGCTTTTTTCTCGTTTATTTGATCGTTCTCATTGGTTAACAACCTGAATATTGTTGCAGTTTTTTTAAACATAATACTGTATCTATTTGTATATCTTTTGCTACGTTAGTATATATTTTGCATAACTTAGTGTCAATTCAATTGTTACAAGTTTGTCATCTGGTTTTTTGTGGTTTGTTTCCCTATTTAATATGTTTTTTTTTTTATAAATTTTAGCTAATTCAGTAATTAGTTTTAAACTGTAGCCATGCTGTGTCACAAGCTCTTTAATATATTCAACCTCTTGCCAACCTTTCTAGAACAATGTGTGTGAGCTTGTTCAATGAGAGTTCAAAACACCACCATTTATAAGTTCAATGAGTTCAAAACACCACCAGGCATAAAGCTGTCTTTATCATGAAAAGTAATTAACTAAGGATTTTTTTGCCCTGCCAGGGTGTGGCCGAGTTATCCAGAGTGCCGAGTTATCGAGTGCCGAGTTTTCGAGGCTCTACTGTATTATTATACATTCGAACAATCGCCATCGCCATCGCATGTCGACAAGCACAGATAAGCTTTGGTGAAGGTCGAACCGACACCCAAGAATTCAATGTCGACAGAGAGGCGACAGTCTGTTGCCAAATCCTTTGTGGGTAGCCGGACGTAGGACAAGGTCTTTTGATCCCGTGAGGTGGGGATCAGTTTTTCAGGTCCAGTGGCGGACGATGAGAGGGGCGTCGGTAAGGCATCGGCGATATCCGAATAAAAGACACCATTAAGAGATCAGTTCGTAATTTGTAAAGAAATTTAGATGAGATTTATTCTCAAGAAATATTGCTGAGAGAAGCAGCTGCAGCTAATTCAAAAAGTGGAGGGCAAGGCTATACACGCTGTCATTGCAAAAAAAAAAGTGTTCCAGGAATAAATGCAGTTTTAAAAGCAAAGGACTCTTGTGCAATTCAAAGTGTCACAACAGTTTAAGTTGTTGCAATAAATAAGATTGTATAATGTTAATCACATAATATATGTGTAAGTTTATTATTGTATTATTTTCTTTAATGATTAAGAATGTACTGTTCGTTTTAGGTTTAACAGTTTATTTAAATGTGCTGTTACTTAAGCTTTCTCCTATTTTCACATATTAAAATGTTGCATTTTTGTCTTAATGTAATAAAAATACTTTTATTCAACATTCACCATCAATGCATGCTGAATGTCGACATTTGCCGGTGTAAGTGAGAAATAATGATATTTAGCAAATATTTTGTACATACACGAAACGACTGTGTGAATGCTGACATTTGCCAGATATCGGTCATTCACAGTAACAGATACATGGAAGTGAAGTTGAGTACTGATGTACTCATTACTGGTTAATTTTAAGCTTTTTAATTTCAATATTAGCTCTATAGAGTTGGCATATTGTGTATTTGTATCCTTTAAGGTATTTTTCAAGCTTTTGGTGTATTTTTTCTATATTGCTATTGTTGGGGGGGCGCTTCTAGCGTTCATCGGTGTTGGAGTGATTTTAGTGAGAGTTTGTTTTGAGGAGTTAATAGGAATTTAAAAGATGGAAATGCTATGGAATAAAGTATATTTATTATTAATAATACAGAATTTGCTTATTTTGGCCGGAGTTGAGCAAAATCCAGGCCCTTTATCACATTCACCACCGAAGAGAGGTCGACCACCATCAACAAGAAGTAACAATGCTGTTAAGATGTCTAAACCGACTAATTTGGAGAATATGTTACGTAAACCAAGGCCTGCTTCGAGGGAGAAGGAAAAAAGTGAGAAAACAGCTGAGGAGGTGAGTGATTTTGATTTTGAATCTACATTCGTGGAATGTTTGGAATCAATAGAGAGAGAAGACTGTCCGATTACCTCAAGTTTACGCCAAATGACTAAATTAATTCAAGCTTCACATGGAGCTATAACTGAACTAATATTAGAAGTTAAAACAGAGATAAGCCGGCTACATGAGGATAATAAAGAATTTAAGATTAGACTTGGATTAATGGAACAGAAGGTTAATAATTTAGAAATAGCATTGCCAGAACTAAATAGGAAACTGGAAGCCCAAAAATACTTTACAAACGAAATTATAAATACAAACGAAATTATAAATACATCAAATCAGTCTAATTTGATAGTATTCGGATACCCTTTGTCTGATAATATGAATATTAGAGAAAGTCTAGGTAGATTTATGGAAGAAGAGCTGAGGATTACCGAATTTAAGACAGAGGAAATAAGGGACTATTATGTAATAAAGAAAGTAGCTCCAACTATTTTAAAAATCACTCTAAGTACAATTCAGAGAAAAAACCAAATATTGTCATTGTTTTATAAGTATAAAAAAGAATCCTCTAATGAGTTATATAGTAAATTACATATAACACCTGATCTCACTCGAGAATCTAGGGAAAGAAGAGCAAAATTGATCCCATATTATATAGAGGAAAAGAAAAAGGGTAGACCGATTTTATTACAAAATGATTGTCTAATTTACAACAATAAGAAAATTACTTATAATTTAACTGAGAACTGTTTAGTGGATACTGGTTCTTTTTTAGAAGTGGAAATCAACTAACTAACATAGCAGCTAAAATAAACATTAGAGTTGGTAAGAATAGCAGCAATAATTTTATGAAAACAAATTTAACACCAGATAAAGAACTAAAAATTTCGATTATAAATTGGAACACTCAAGGACTTAGAAAAAAATTATATTCTACTTATTTCCAAAAATTAATGAAACAATATGAGATTATTGGTTTGGAAGAAACTTGGATTACTGAACTAACTGCTAAAGAGATGGAATTCTTGCAACCCACATTTAACTATTTAACGGCCCCAGCTACAAAAAAACTGGGAATTGGAAGACCTANTTAGAAAAGCTTTTAATTTTAACCTTAAAATAATCTTGACCTTTGACCTAGACCTTAAGATCAAGGGTATATCTGAATGTGAAATTTCCTGCTCTTTCCATTATTTCCAGGGTCGAAAATATGTCTTCCCATTGAAAAAAACAGACTTCATCTCCAAATGACCTTGAAGGTCAAGGTCATGTCTGAGGTCACCAACTGATTGACCCCTCGACATCCTACAACTTTTGTCTATACCTTTTTCCAAAATAATGAGATCCAATTAAAATATTTCATTATTTCAAGATAAAAACTACACCCTGTATAAATACTGAATTGCAACATAAGAATTTTAAATAATGTTACAGAACAGTTCAAACTGCTCCATTTTAGAACTCGATATAATGCCTTCAGCTTTGGAACAGCTTTTAACCAGAATAAGGCCTGTAAAATGGGCCGAAAACATGTGTTGAGTGTTAATTCTGGAAACAAACACAAGCAAACAATTTTTGTATGTGCGTTCATGATTCGAAGAAGACAATCATAAAACCAATTAGAGAGAAAATTAGCAAAGTTTACTGAAGTTCTAGAAATGTGCAAAGTGAATGAATGAATAAGGGGGTTGCAGGACTGGTTTCCAGCTAGTAGAAGTTTTTGTTAAAAAGGTATACACCCTGTTTAACATAATCTTATTGTAGGGCTTATACTGATGAACATGGGCATTTGCTGATTTAGGGCAACATGTATGATGATAATGTTAGTATTTATATCATTGTTGTTTTATCAATACAATATGTATACTTTCTGGTCTAAGTACTTTTTATTTTTTCTATTGTGTGTATTCTGTCATTTAAATTATTTTGAATGCTACTACATTTAAACATATTTGGACACCAACAGTACTTTGTTGGATTATTAATGTGCAAGTTTAAACCTGATAAAGAACTTTAAACTAGCTTAAAAATGTTACTTTAGTAAAAATTTAGTGCTGGATATCTTAAAAACATTTTTATTTTATAAAGAATTTTCCACACATCACTTATTAAATAAAATTATATTAGATGACTTTTTTTTATGATTAGCACTTATGTATATAAATACCTACAATTATTATAAATACTATTTCCCTTTTTGTACAAAAATTTCATACAAGAATTAAGTTATTTGCTGAAAAATACAGAGAGAGACTAGCTAAACCATTATTTGTAAAATTTTGATGTTCAATAAAATAATTATATAAATAAAACCAAAATGTAATATTTCATTAAAACTTAAAACTAATAAAAATTTAAATAATTTACCAAGCTTTTGTGAAAAATCATAAAACTCTCTTAATTTAGCTACAAGAGGAAGAATTGCTTTCCATGCTTTCTCCTGAGAAATATCATTACTTGGATTTGCTATGGCCTAAAAAAAAATAAATTTTCTTTTAATTAAAATTAAAGTATTCTTTTAAGTTACTATCTTACATTAAAATAAAAATTTTAAAGTAATATATGAAAAAAATAGAAACAATTCTAAATATAATAACGTCACTAAATATTCTTGTAACTAATACATCAAAAGCAGCAGCTTGGATTCATTTATTTTAAACTCAAGTAATACATATGAAGCATGCAATGCCATAATGTTGTAAATGCCAAAAAAACTTTTCAGGAGAGGTAGAAAACATTTTTTCTAATGAATGAAATCATTTCAATTTTACAATAAAATGGTAAAAAACTCACTGGGTTACAATTCTCTGGAATATCAAAATGATGTAAATATAAGCCACAACGTTTTACGCGCCAAAAGTCACGTGACTTGCACTCTGGCACTTTAATATATTTTTACATAAATTCATCTTCAAAATATAGCCACTTACACTGCCAATATCGCCACAATATTCTTTTGTGGCAGAAAACATTGCATTTAGAATTCAATTCTTCAATAAAATGTATTTAGAAAAAAAATGGCATTTGCAATGTTATGGCATTGCATGCTTCATATATTGCTTAGTCAGCACAGCCATGTTTGTATCCAAAAGAGTGGTATGCAACTAGGAAAAGTGTCAAACAAAAATCACCTTTGTAATTCCAACAATGTATTTATTAAAAAATAAAAGCAATTTTATCAGTTTGACCAACCTTCTTCACTTAACAGAAACTTCAAATAAAGACAGATACAATAGTGAAACTCAAGTACATCCCCTTAAGCCCCAATCCCGAGATATCTCGGGCAAGTTACATAGAGTTACATAAAACGCGGTCCTTAAGGCCAAATTTTTATTTGAATTTTTGGAATATTTTTTGTCTTCAAATTTTTTCAAACTTTTTTTCCCGCGCGAAAAAATTTTATTGCGATTTTAATTTACGTTTAATGACGCACGCTTCACGCTTAATTGCTTTTTAATCGTTTTTTAATGGGAGTTTGATATCAAATTTCATTTATCGTTCTAAAGTTGTAGTGCACTGATTTTCCTTCCGTAAAGTTATTTAAAGCTAGTTTCTGATGTCAAAAACGACCTTCAATAGTTTTTTAATCTTTTTAATTAATAGATTTTATTATATATAAGTTTAATTAAGTCGGGGGGGTCAGAAATCTCAATAAAAATTTTAATTTTTTAAAAATATTTAATAATATAGGTCTAGTTAGTATTCACCCTTTAAACCCTTCTCCTCCCGAGACATCTATGAGAATGTCCCGGGAAATATGACACCAGCTGTTCTCAAGGTCATTCAGCTGTGTAAACAATGACTGGTCAGTGTCAAATTTCACAGAAAGACGAGACAAAGGAAAATAACATTTGAAGCTTTTTCTTCAAAATTAACTCATTTCTTTTGTTTTTTTTCAGTTTTAAGTATTTTTTATGTTTAATTACATTAATATCAAAAATTGCTTGAGGCTTAAGGAGTTAAAGATAACAGCACAACATGCTTATCCAATTCAATTGATAAAATGACTAATTGCAACCTTTTAAATTACAAAAGCTAACTTGATATTGATAAACCAGAAAAAAAAGGATTGTCCTAAGTTATTTCCCAACTTTAAGAAGTATACATAAAGAAGCAGCCAACTAATAATCTTACATTGGTATACCAACATAAAATTTTAAAACAGTCAGGTTATTGTTAAGTAATGATAAGGTTCCATATGATTATAATTCTGCATCAGACATCCACTCCATTCCAATAGATGATCAATGTCTTACAACAAAGCTTGTATACATAGATGCTACTGGACATAATCTGCAACAAAAAATCAAAGAGCATAAATACACAATCAACAAGAACCACTGTAACACTGCAATAGCAGCTATTCACACCACTTGAACATACAGATGAATTGAGAAGAAATGATAATCATCACACTCACCATTAACATCTTGCACTCTCAGTTGGAAATTTATAAAGCTCATAGAAAATCTACATGCATTAACCATCATAATGCCAACACTCTTTCTAATGAATGATAAATAATTAAATCTCAAAAAATGACTATGCTTTTCCTTTATTAATTATTTACTATAACTTATGTATTTTATTTATATATTTATTCACTCCATTCTTTTAAAATTTTGTTCCTATTATAACTCAGCCATCTATTTTTTAAATTGTATTCATTTATGTTTCTGTTAACTGAAGAAGGTTGGTCAAACTGATTGAAAACATTTTTATTTTTAATAAATAAGAAGTTGGAAGTTTTGTTTGATTCAACACTTTTCTTAGTTACATACCATCCTTTTGGATGTGTGTTCTTTGTACTGCATGTTTGATGCATATATTTATTTCAACATGGAATGATTGGTGTGTTTTCTTCTTCTTTGATTCAGCCTGCTTCACCATTGTGGGTAATTGGAATAGACCAAAGAGCAGACCAATAGACAGTTATTTTTCTGTCAACAAGTGTTGTGCTGTGATTGTATGATGGGTTAGGTATCTAGATGTCTGTAAAAACGCACAGTTGCGATCATCAGTTGTGATTTTATTATACAGTATATTTCATAATAAATTGCTGATTAAAAATTCATGTAATGTATATTTTTAAATAAAAATTGTAAATACAGTCATTAAAAATTTTAAAAATAAACGTTGAACATACAGAACATAAAAACTTACAAAATTACAAAGAGTAAAAATTCTCTAAAAAGCAAAATAAAATTACTACTGTATAAAAATTTTAAAACTTTCTGTGCAGAAATAAAAAAAAATCTTTTCCTTATACATTCCCCAGTGAATTCGAAACTTCACACCTTAATGTGATTTGACTGTTTTGCATCAAGTTTCAAATTCACAGAAACTTGTAAATGAGGAGAAAAAACTTAAAACCAATAAATAAACAACTTTTAAAATGAAAAGGAAACATAAATGATAATTGATCTGTCCACCTGTTTTGCTTATTTAGATCTTGACAAATTTATTGTTTCACCAGCAGTGGTAGTTTCAAGGACAATGGTGGGAATAAAATACCATATTTTGTTACAAAAAGAAATTCAATGGCAATTGATGATTTAAAATTTATTGACTCGAGTGCATTTAAAATTTGGACATATAAAAAAATAGTGCGATATATCCGAACCGCAATATAACGAGGGGCTACTGTATTAAATTTTGGTATTTTATAACTTGTTTTTTGTAAATGAATTATAACAGAAAATTTTCAAATTACTTACAAAGAAAATAAAAAAAGGCTCCGTTTTTAGAAGGATTACATACTGTATATTACTTTGTATATTATTAATAAAGCATGCCAAAATAATTTTTACTTTTTAAATTTAAAATTTCACTTTAAAAAATATCCAACTACTGAAATAAGGTTGCAAAATAATCATAAAACTAATGCCAGTGTCAAGTTAAGTTTAAGTATCCAGTAGAATCTCATGGGTCATGTTAGGTTATGAATTTATTTGCGATCAGCATTGATAGGGGCTACAGTCCAAAACTGGCCCTGTTGGTGAATGTGTGATGCAGTAGTGATACTTGAGTCAGTGCTGCATTTGCCATTAGTGACCAAGGGAGACGGCAACAGATTTTTCAAATGAGCTTCTGCCTAACTCACAAACACACCTTGTTCACTTGGATGACAATCAAGTCAATATCAAGCTGTGAATGTGTAACAACCATTTTTTCCCACAGCAATGATGCTTACATATCTACAGCTAGGTGTTTATAAATCAGTTGCCCCTGATAAGGAGAACAGTGTTTAGCAGTTGCCCACTTTGGATCAGATGCTGCTTATGGGTCACTCTTTGCTACAATTCTCCATATATACCTTATTGGCATAGATGGCTATCTCACCTTGACAAGTTGATGACTAGCAAGACAGTTGTTGTTGTTGTTGTTATTATTATTATTATTATATTTTTGTTTTTAGAATTTTGTTATATGTAACTAATAATTGTTTTAAGTAGTTTTAATATTCAATACAATACAAATTTTTATTATTTTAATAGAAATAAAATGGATGAAATAGAAATGAATCAGGAAATCCTTCAATTAAGCTAATTTCAAGTTTCCTTTTTGTTTCATTTGTTTTATACAGATAAACTATCATTTTCACATTTATTGTATCAGAAATTTTTCATAAATTAATTAAAATTAAGTTAAAATTATAAAAACTTACAAATACTTTCAATTTTCACTCACAAAACTAAAATAAATAATGTTATATATGAATCAAATATTAAAATAAAAATATATTAACTGGATAATTAGTATAATTCATAAATGATAATTGTTGGATCATAATGCAACTAAAAAGTGTTATTTCTGATATTATCTTATTCCAGTTTATATTAGATTTATACCTTAAATCACTGTATTAAAATACTTTGGCATGCCATACAGTATTTTACAATAATCCTTCTTAATCCAATTAATTATGTCCATGAAGAATACATCTGAGATATAAACTTTTTCAATGTTTTAAAATAAACTGAGACAATGTATTTGAGATTAGAAATAACAACAATTTTTCATTAAAATCTTACATTAATTTCTATATCTTTTTATATAAAAATTCTAATTTTTATTGATTTCACAAAAATATAAAGATAAAATAAATTTTATAACAGAAATAAAATCTATTAAATTACTTAAATAAAAGATTTTATCTCTCTATTTTGTATAAAATCTGTAAATAATAAAAGAAAGATGAATCATCATCAAATAAACATTGCTAAAATCTACTCTAAAAACTTAAAACATTTGTGTATTTTTAACATTGTAAAACAATATCAAATTTGATATGAAATGCACAATAAAAAAAAATAGTTTCAAAACCATTCAATTACCTAACATAAAACATTGAACTGTTTGTGGTTTTTATTTAAAAGATAAAAATAAGTAAAATTTAAACAATCATAATTCAGAAAGTTTCAAAAACTTTAGAAACAAAATTACAGAGATAATCTTAGTATCAGTTGGAAA